AAGGAAACTCAGATCTCCTAGAAATGAAGCCTGTGCTGTGACTGTCAATGGAGCAGGAGCAAGGCAGATCGAGTGTTAAACACACATAGGTAGTAACTTAGGGAAACTGCTGGGCTATTATATCACCAGAATCATTGAAGCTGATTCAGGCTTTGAGGAGCTTTATCAGGGTGTCCTTGGGCCTGGAAACTTCTACACAGCATGGATCTCATTGCCTAAGCATGAGTGGGTATTTTAAAAGACGTTCTTTTCAGGGGCTACTGCAGTGGCATACTAGGCTAACTATCCATCTGCAGTCCTAGCATATGGGTGCTGCTTCATGTCCCAGCTGCTCAACTTCTGATTCAGCTCCCTGCTAATATACATGGGAAAGCAGCAGAAGATGATCCAAGTCCTTGGGACTCTGCACCCAGATGGGAGACACAGAAGAAGCTCCTCCCTCTTGGCTTTGGATCAGCTCAGCTCCAGCTGTGGCAGCCATTTGCAGAGTGAACCAGAGAATTGAATATCTTTGTCTCTCCTTCTCTCTGTGAATCTGCCTTTCCGATATAATTAAATTAAATTTTAGAAAGAGATCCATTTTAAGCAGAAACCACTTGTCTGTAACTCATTTTTTATGACTCACAGCAGCTGGTAAGATATATAATTACCTATAACTTCAGTCTTACTGCTCATGATCAACAACATGGTTGAAGTCCAGAGAGTGGTGCAAAACATCTCTTCCATTTCTTTTGAGTCCATTTTCAGGCCAATTTGAATCATTCTTACAAAACTGCTTGGAAATCTCATGTCCTCTAGTTTCCTGTCCTTAACCTTCACACCCTATTACCACTTTCCCCCTGTAGGTGACCTTGACAGTTAAATCCAAGTAGGTTTCAAACTGGGATTGTGACAGATTTTTACAGCCCTTTCAGGGTATTTCTTTAGGTATTTAGACTCTTTAAAGAAGCATATTGACACAGTGAATAAACATTTCATTTGTACTAATAGTAACACCACAAGACTGGGATATGTACCAGAACTAGGGAAGGCCGTGGAGGATACATGGTGAGGGGAGGATAGTTAATGGGTACAAGGATCCTGTGGGGAATGAGGAATAATAGCTAATTTTGTATAGCACAATAGAATAACTGTAGTTGACAATAATTCAATATTTCAGAAAAGCTAATAAGACCTTGAGCACATGCAACACAAGGAGATAATAAAAGTTTGAGATGACAGGCCAGTTAATTTGATCATTGATCATCATGCATTGCATGTATACATATATAACAGTGTGCTTTATAAAAATGTGCAGTTACTGTGTGTCAACTAAAAATAGAAATATACAAAAATTGTAAACACTTATGCAAATGTACCTGTGATGCTTGTTATGACAAAAGACTCCTCCCTACTAGAGATGAAGGAGGAGAAGAATGAGGCAGGCAATGGGATGGGAACCCTGCTCTGCAACATGCCGTAGAGGTCCATGGGCCAGGATCCTGGACAGCCCTGTGGCATCAGCCAGCTGATTTGAGACCCATGGTACAGAGATGGAGGGGTTAAAAGATGCCAGTGGTTTTCTTACCTAGTGGTACATGTGTGGGGTCTGCTCTCTGGGGCAGGGTGTGGCATTGGGGAGATATAGTGTTCTTCATTCTTCATCTTTGTGTCGTGAAGGCTCCTTTTCCAGCTGCTGGAACTAGCCAAGCTCATATTAAGTGAGTGTCTTTTCTGCCTTTTAACATTCTTGGGGCTTAAGGATTGTGCCTCATTTCTGTAGAGTCATTTATTTATCATAAACTTGTGAGGCTAAAATGCTTCAGGAACTTCTAATAAATGTGATATGCTATTTTTCATGGCAGAAATGCTATCTTAAATACAGATTTTAAGAGGGACTATTAAGATTTATTAGCTAATATTTATAAACCCATTTAAACTGCTGAGAAAAATGAATAATCCAAATAGTTATGGTTAGGAGAAATAGAGTAGCTTTGTGATTGGAGACATAAAACCTCTATCTCTATTTCCTCAATATTCTGCTAGCAAATATTGACTCATCTGAAATGTTGACCTTTAAAACTTCGAAGATGCATGTGAGCAGGAGGTACATTTCTCAACTTGTTTTTCTTTACCTTGACATCCAAAAGACAAAAAAATATGACCATTAACTTGACAGCCATGCAAAGAAGTGTGTGTGTTTTCCTTGTAAGGTGGACTATCATGGGGGTTGGGAGTACAAGTTCTCAGGGTTGGTGTCCTGACTCTAACACTTGCCAGCTTTTGGGGTGGTGGTAGGGTCTTCAGTGCATAACCTGACTTTTCTATGCTTTCATTTCCATCTGTTGTTGGCTTGGTTATCTGCATGGCAATACACCAAATGACTGCACATTTCTACCAATTATGTTGTTATGAGTGCCTAACATGGAAGCAATATTTTTTAGTCACCAGAAATTCTTCTGTTTGCCTGCAAGAGTTTGTCCTCAGCCCCTCCGCCTGGCTTTCTTAAAACTCTCCAGGAAACCAGCAGAAGCTTGTGGAAGGCAGGAACTTGCCTGCAAAGCGGATACTGTGAATACAGGCAGCAAGGGGCAGGCCCACTTCACTTCTCACTCCCAGATCTGTTCTGGTCCTCACTTTGTCTTTGCAACTGGAATGCACTTAATCCCTACAAACATTCCACCTTATTCTATCCTCTCCCAGGCTACAGAGTCCCACAATCAAAGATATTTCTGACATGGCTCCTCTTGTTCATCTTCCCACATTGTATCAGGGGTGGGTAAAAGATGATTCTGCTCCCTTGGGTTCTGTAACAGGAGGTGGTGTAGGATTGCAGGCACTGGGTTCTGACCTCTTGCCAAGATGACCTAAGATGCAGAGTTCCACCAGTAGAGAATTGTGATACCCCCAGTGGAGGTGTTTAGATTCTGGGGTGTCCTCCATTCCCATCCACCCCACCTCCGCCCCCCAAACAAACAAGCAAACAAAAAATAAAAAATCTCTGCTGAACTAGAAGACTTCAAATTTTCCTCAACAGCAGTAGTGCACTGGCCAGTCTTCAGCAATTGGCTAACTGGTCCTGAGTTATAAGAGTTGCCCATTTGTTCTGACAAACTCTGTACCTTGGCTCACAGCTTTTCCCACACCCTCCTGTCTCTTTGGACCATCCTGCCTCACTGGGACAGGCACTTAGGGCAGGCAGCCCTCTATATCATCTAGGACATTTTTGTTAGATTTCATCTGCAAAACAGCCTAGGAAGCTCTCAGCTATGTTCACACAGAGACGAAGCCAGCTGGAGGCCTGCGTCACAGACAGTTACAACCTGCTGCCTTTGCTGCCATGGGAGCTGCATGGCCCGCAGGCTCTTTACCTATCATGTTTATATCTTTGGTCTTCTACCCTGATCAGGGCTGAACCCTGTGACCAACAGAAGTTTGCACAAGTGACGCTGTGTGACTTCTGAAGCTAGTAAGAAAGGGTGCTGTGGCATCTGCTTTCTGCTCTTGGATCCCCTTTCCTACAGGAATCCAGCTGCTGTGTTGTGAGTACCCAGGCAGCCATGTAGAGAGGCACCGTGGGAAGGAACCGAAGCCTTCTGCTGACAAACTGCACTGCTCCCCAGCACGAGTATTCTACTTTAGAGGTGTGCCCTTCAGGAGTTGGCAGCTGTTCCCTGGTTAGAATTTTTTTCTTTTCAATATTTATTTATTTAATGTTATTGAAAAGTCATACTTACAGAGAGAAGGAGATACAGGGAGAAAGATCTGTCCACTGGTTCACTCGCCAAGTGGCTACCAATGGAGCCAGGAACTTCTCCCAGGTCTCTCACATGGATGCAGGGTCCCAAGACTTTGGGCCATCCTCTACTGCTTTCCCAGGTTACAAGCAGGGAGCTGGATGGGAAGTGGTGCAGCTGGGACATGAACTGGTGCCCATATGGGATCCCGCTGGATGCAAGGCAAGGACTTAGCCACTAGGCTATCATGCTGGGCTCTGGTTTGAGTTCTTAGATTCTGATCTCAGACTGGAATTTGGCGAGTAACCTGGTAGATGGGAAAGCTTGGTGTTTCAGGAAAAAAGAAGTAGTGAAGAAGGAAGCAGTCCTTCCTTTCCCAGACAAATCTTTACAAAAGTGCAGCCCTGGCTGACATCTGATGTACCCTTTTAAGAAATACCAAGCCACTAGCACCACACTAAGCGCCCTCAAATTCTTGACCTACAGCAACTTCAAGAAGTAGTGTTTATGTTGTTAAACCATTGAATTTTGGGGATCATTTATTCTACAGTAATCTAGAAACTACATTTCTTTCCAAACTGCACCATATGGGCTATGGGTGATGTCAATCCAATAAAGAATATTAGGGGCTTAAAGTAACACATTGAGTGGATTTTGTTTTCTGTTCATCAAGGAAATTGTATTTCAAGTCAGCGCTGGAAAGCTTTGTACAATCCAACTTTGGAAACACGTTTTATTTTGAATGCTTTTCTTACTGACCTGTGCTTAGAGCGCATCTGCGGCTGGGAAGGGAGAGGCAGCTGGGACTGGAGTCTGGGCAGCTGTCAGTCATGGGGGTGCCCCATTTTCATGGTCACCTTTAATCGATGTCACCTGCTCTTTCAGAAAGCCAGAACGGGTGAAATTTAAAAAAAAAAAAAAATAAGAAGAAAGAAAGAAAGAAACTGATTGGGAAGGGAGAGAGTTAAGGACCTTCCTGGAGGTTGGAATTGGGAACTTTTAGATCCTTTGGAGATCACCAGCTCCCTGGGAGATGGCCCACTGAAGTTCACTCCTAGAAAAATCCGCTTGCGTTTCCTCAGCGCACGAGAGGATCTTGGTGAGGCGGAGGCTCTGGTGTCTGTTCCGGGGAGTTGGAACTAGAATCACACTCAGCTCCCAGGCGTGTTTCCTACCAGCCGGGGAGGCAGAGCGCCGACCCGCGAGTCGGGGGCGCCCTGGCGCGGGGCCGCAGCGGAGTGGGAGGTGGACGCGCAGGCGGCGCACCTCGCCGGCGCCTCCAGCATGGAGTGGGAGCTCAACTTGCTGCTCTACCTGGCGCTCTTCTTCTTCCTGCTCTTCCTACTTTTCCTCCTGCTCTTCGTGGTCATCAAGCAGCTGAAGAACTCCGTGGCCAGCACAGCCGGGGCGCTCCAGCCGGGACGCCTCTCGCTGCACCGCGAGCCGTGGGGCTTCGCCCACGAACAAGCGGTGTGACCCGTCTCAATGGCATCAGTCCCGGCTTTGGTTATCCGTGCCTGTGGCAGTCCAGGTGCGTTCCGGGTGAGAGGGACCCGCGGAGGGATTGAGGCTCTGCATCTCCACAGGAGGCTGGAGGTTCGCTCACTCTCAGGGGTCCGGGATTCCGCGGGCACCGGGTCCAGGCTGGCTCTGCTCTCCCGGAGGGACCCTGGGGGTTTTCTGGGGCGTGGAGGGATGGAGAAGAGAGCTCAGCCTCTGGAAGTAGCGTGGCTTTGGGCATCGTTTGGGTACCTTGGGGTTTCTAAAGCCTTAACACTCTCTTTTCTGGTGCAATTGTGTTTTAACTTATACCTGTGGGGTGGAAAACGGAATAATTTGGATATTTCATTCCAGCTACTTCCAGACATATCAATGTCAACTTAAGTATACAGATGATCAGAAAGAGTGTGAGTTTTGGAATGAGTAACAGGAAAACTGGACACCCTTTAGATATTAAAAAGTTCGTGAAAAGTGACATTAAAATCCTCTTGCAGTTTTTAAAAATTTATTTCCATGAACTTTTTAAATGCATGGATTTCAAATTTTTAAAAAATCCAAATAGTCTCAGCTTTTAACTCAGTTTCCATGAACTTTTTGAAGTAGTTTGAAATTTCTTTAAATTTCTTTGCACTTTGAGAGATAGTGATGAAGAGAGGAGTCAGTGACCCATTTTGCAGAGGAAGTCTCTTACTATCCTGATTCAGGTCTAGCCACCAACAGGGTAGGTGGAGTGCGGTGCTGGGTGGGTTTAGACTCTGCGACCGTGGAGGAGAAACATGAGAGTGAGTCCTTAGGAACAAGCCTTCGGCTCCACTGGTTGTGACCTTTTGGGTGATGGCCTGGGAAGTAGGCTTCAAGAAGCAGAGGGCAGGACCAAGTCTATGTTTTCACACTAACTGATTAGAGCTGTTGCTGGAAGATGGATGGGCGTGGTGCATTCATCCATGTGTGCACCTCAGCATCCTGCAGTTGGGGAAATAACAAGATGCTTTTTTGCAGGTTGATGCTGTCTGGAGTCAAGCGCTGCCTCTGGTTGCTGTGCCTAGGACCGGGCTGGGCTGCGGTTACAGCTTGCAGGCTGCAGGGAGGAGGCCACAGCAGGGGGAGAAGAAAGCTTCTCGCAAAGGGTAGATTGAGATCACTCCTGCTTTCGCGTCGCACTCCTTATGGCCAGCTTCCTGAAGATCTGTGGCCTACTGGTACAGTGAAGTCAAGCTCCTCTCCCACTCTGAATCAGTGTCCTTCTCCGGGAGCCAAGAAAACAGACGGATTCCTAACTCAGTGCAGGAAGCTGTGTCTAGTCTGAGGACTATGGGAGTTAGGATGAGACATAAAGAGTGTTTACAAGTTTACTAATAATTCTCTTTTGAAAAAAATAGTGCAGGGGCTTTTGGATTGAAACACGTGATGCTGAAATCATTGTCTTCCATAGGGGTTAAGTCTCGTGAGGGTGGAGCAAACTGTCTATGGCACTGTTGTATTCTTGCAAATGCAAATCTTAGACTCAAGAAAAGAACACAGAGAGCCTAGAAAAGGAGATACTACTTTTTGCGTAATTGATCATGTAAGCATTAACTGGAAGATAATTGTTTTGATAATTCAAAGCAAGGAAAAATCATTCTCAGATGAATAATTACGGAAACTGTTTGGCCTGAGGTATTCAGATAATTTCCCACATGTTCTATTTCACTTTTCCAAAACAGATTTGTTTTTACTGAAGTTCGGCGTGGTTTAATTGTTATTTTCTGGGCAGATTCTCACCTCTCTCACACCTTGTTAAGAGAGTTATGGTAAGACTGGATGTGCTGCTGTGAGCAATAGTGCTCTAATTGGTATCTCTGCAATGGTATTTAACTGCAGGTTGTATGGTTAACAAGGACATTGAAAATGAATGTGGGAGTAATTAATTAAATATTAAAACTATTTATAGGAATGGAAAATAGCCATTTCACACTTTATAAACAGAATGCACATTGTTCAGCCACCTGCTTGGCTTCTTGATTTGCAATTTTCTAATTTTCCTAGTGGTGCCACTGGGGTCCATCCAGAAGTTTAACCTGCCTCTGACTCTTCAGAAAAAGACTTCAAACAACTCAGTGTAAGTAGTTTGTTGCTATCCCCGTATTAAGGCAGTCTCTCTGGGTATGTAGTCTCAGGCGCCTACAACATGAGTGCCTACCTGTCCTTTCTTTCTTATGTTCAGGGACATTTTGTAAGCTCTTGATAAACTAATTCATTAACTAAGTTCCCATTTTTCTAAGGCAAAATGAAAAAATATTTAGCCTTATCACTGAATCTGTGCTTGAAAGTTGGTTCTAAATTCTAGGAATTAAGGCTCCTTACATTTGCTCTCAGATCTGGCTGATGTTGGTCCCTACTGGTACGATGAAGTCACTGTCCTTTCCCGCTCAGAATCAGTGAGATTTGTTTTTGACACTTTGACACCTGCACATGAATTGTTTCTGTTCATTTATTTAATAGTCATTTTTTTCAAGACCAAGCATAGATTGACCTTCCAATTCAGAACTTTTGAACTCACCTTTTTTTGACTATGGTTATGAATTCTTGGCTTAAATCTCATATACCCACAATGCTGTAATTTCCAGGCTCCTACATATTGATGATTCTATCCAACAATCATAGCCTGGTTCTAACAATCACTATGTCAAGTGCATTTTTAAAGATGAGATAAATATAATCTGGACTTAAAAGCATTTGCAAAGTCAGGAACATTTAAAATAACAACACTTTGTGTGACTTAATTTAGAAGATTCCTATGTTATATTTTTAATAAAACATTTTCAGTGATTCTTCAGAGCCAAATTGAATTTCTTCTCTATAAGGAAATGAGCCATAATTCTATAATGTATTGTTAATATTTTATTTTAAGTGTTCCTATTTTATTATTGTTTTTAAATTTCAGCTGTTCAAAATGGCTTCAAATATTATTAGAACATGTAGATTGACCAACTTCCCAAGTTATTAGTGCAGTGCAGTTCTGGTTGGCGTGATAAATCATTTGCAATTGAATGAGAAAGATGTCACAGTCACACCTGCAAAATCCCGAGTGTCTCATAAAGTAGATTCCTACACTTGAACTTTGATTTTAGGGCACAGCTGTAGAGCAGGACCGATGCCATCTGGTGTGATTCTACAGAAAAGAGAGAACATTTACCCACAGTGTGCCATGCACTGGCTTTTCTGGGAATGACAGGGTACCAGGATGTTTTTAGTTCCCTTGCAGGGGCGGAAACTTGGAACTAGGTGAGTAAAATATACGTAATACCCTATTTTTAGTTTGACATTCCATGTTTCCAATTTTGTCTATAGTTTCAAAGTACAATAGAGTTAGATTTTAAATGGCCAAAATGTTAGACCTAGTAAGTGGTTAAGCTGCTGAAAATGGTGGGAAATATTTATTTATTTTTTCTAAGCTACACTTACCAGCCTAGGGACTTTTAGAATGCTTAGGGCATTGATGTAGGACAGGGAAAGTATCTTCAGATTACTATACTCAATTTTTTAACTTTTATAGCCACTGTGAAGTGTTTGTGCTTATTCAAGCTAAATACACAATTAAACCCAAAGGGTCATTAGATTGTGACTGTCAGATGCTTGTTCCACAAAAGGGAAAGTTAAGAAATGAGCTAAGGTTCTTCCATGTATATTTTTTTGTTTAAATCAACAAAACAAATTCATTAATTCCCCATTTCCTATTTTGTCTACACAAGCTAGAGTTTTGGATTAAATAATTTTCTGATTAATGATGAGTAGTGAGCATCTCACCATACAGGAAGTGAACCGGGTAATCAGGAAGAGCAAACCTGTGTTTAGAACAGTAATCAGAACATAATAGGCACTCAGAAAAAAGTTCCTGATGAATTGAGCTAAAAAAAGCCTCGATTTTCTTTAATAGCAACTACTTCATATAATGATTCTAATCATTTCTGCCATTCCTGGTCTATATAACATGATTCTGAAAACATGGATGGGTTCAAGTTTAAAATCTTTAAACCCAATTTATGTTTTACTAGTATGGCTCTGGGAAGCTAATTGAGTGTAGTGAATGGGTACAGGTTCTTCAGGCAAGATTTGTTGTTGTTTTCCTTTCAGATTGGAAATCAAAATGGATTGATAGCTTGATAACAGGGTGGGAAGTCACTGGACTGAAGAACAACTGAAACAAATTAGAGGTTTTGCTCTTTGCTCATGAACCAGGGAGGTGGATGTAGGCAACTCTGGTATTGGTTGAGCTGTTCACTGATGTTACACTCTGTGGGTCTGAGCTTCCCTGGGCTTTTTCCTCTAGGCTCCAGAGTGCTCCCTGCAACTTCCTACCAAAAGAAGAAGGAAGCCCAAAGGGAAAACAGGGCATGTTGGTGGGATCCTTCTTCTTTCCAAGAGTGCTCCTGGCAGCCCACCGATCCTTGCTTACATCTCATTGATCATGACTCTGTCCTTGGCTACTGCTCTCTGCAAGCTTGCCTGGGAAGTGTGGTTTACATAGCAGGATGTTTAACTGCATTCAACCAAAATCCAAGTACTCTCGATTAGGAGGAAGATGGTGGTGGATTTTGGGTGGATAGTTGGCAGTTTGTGTTCTGGTTACAAAAATACAGTTGTGACATCGTGCTTGAAACAGATCAGAATTGTAGTTGCTTCTCAACTGGCAGAACTCCAGTCAGTGCTGCACAGTGAAGCACATGCCAGATTTTCTCAGGAAATGCTTGACACAACTGACCTTCGCCTCGGTCAAGCTGCTTATCCTGCAACAAGGTCTCCAACAAGGTCTCCAACAAGGTATCCTGGGGACCTGCATACCGTGTTGCTGGACATCATATATTTTAAGAGAAGTTTGGTGTAGGATAAACATTTTGTTCCACTTTGTTTTTTCATTTTTTTTCCTCCCTGAGTCAATTAGATTCTGATTTTCCAAATCTAGATTTGGAAATTTGATTCTCACAGAACATCCCTTT